CAAAAACCTAAACATTCAGAAGGAACATTCCCAGTGGGTGGTCTGGCCATAAGCTTCAGAGCTCAGACCTGGGGTCTAGGGTTGAGTGAGAGGCCCTGGGATCGCGGAGAACCACTTCCTGACTGGTATGAAACAGACGGTATTAAGTATTGGCTGGCATTTTCTTTTCATGATATCATTTCTTGCTCTGGGTTTGTTAGAGCTATAGTTAACTATAGTAAAATTTTGCACATAATTTAGAATACTGATTTTTACTGTAAGATTGTATTTTGCTTTAACTAGCTGATCCAATGCCATTTGTTAACTCCCCCAGCTTTCTCCATTAATTTGAAATTATTTCTTGGGTTTGATTCTGCTTGGTACTGGTTGACAGTTTATTTTTAGCCAAGAAGAGTCCTTCGGGAGGGAAGAAAGTTAATTTGAGAATCCATTACCAACTTTCCGATTCCCTTCTTGGCATACTTCTTAGAGATAGACCCATCTCTGACACTACTGGCCCTGGAACTATGCTGTATGTCTATGTAACCATTCTCAAGTTACATCAAGCAATGTAAAAATTAGGTTTTATACATCTATCTTTATAAACATCTTCCCAATGACCTGGGAATTTAGGTTCGAATTTAGATTCACTAGCCTCCTTTATTTGTTAATTCAAAATCTGTGTGTGTGTGCGTGCGTGCGCAGGGGGTATGTATACATATCTGTGATCTAGGTCCCAAGTTCATGTACATCTGGCTCCAAACCAAATTGATGATGTGGTTTAGGCATAAAAGAACTGGCAGGTGGTCTAACAAATATCAGGGAGGGTAATGTGGTCTAGAATATGGAGTGGAGACTGCTGGGGCTTATCTTGGAAGCTCTGTACATGGATATGGGATGGGTGGATATGGTATCAATGGGACCCATGATGCATGCTGCCTAGAGCATGGACATAGCCTCTTGGCTGACCTAAGATATAGAGATGAGTGTCTCTGTGTGAATGGAGAAAGCAGATGGGAGATTGGAGCTATGTCTGGGGAGATGAGATGCTAAATGTACTGAGTTCCATCACCCCAGACTTGAGAATGGTGGAATGCACCAGACTGATTTTGGAAACAACCTCTCATGGTTCTGAATTTGGGCTATAAATCTACAAATGTATTACTTACCTCATGTAGCTCCAGAGGATGCATCCTATACCAGTCATTCTCCCCTCTCGTCTGTCTCCTGGGCCCTTCGGGCCTCCTGTAATGCTGGCCCAGTGCTGGTGGTGACAGAGTGCTGCTGTGGTTAAAGGACTGGGCGCGGGTACCAAGGGCAGGGCCCTCCCTTCCTCTCTGCTCATCCCTCCTCTCTCTCTGCACATCTCTGCTCATCCTCCTCTCTGCACATATCTGCTCATCCTCCTCTCTGCACATCTGTTGTTCTCTGCTTCTATTTCTGCCACAGGCAATCCCATCTTTTTCACTCAGTTTCCACTCTTACTCTCTGGACTTTCCTTGCCTGAAAGTTTCTTTCTTCAGCTGCCCCGGCATGGGCAGAGAGGGGTCTCTACAGGGAGGCCTTGCTAGGTCATTAGTGTTTAGATCCTCTGATGGTAGAAGAACCCTGTTGGTTCACATGGAAACTGTCTCTAACAACTCTATCCTTGGAGAAGCTGCGGGTCTGGCTTCAAATACCCGATTTACGAGTGAACTCTGGAACAAAACATACTCGCCATTGTGCTGTTTGTTTTGCTTTTTTTTAAAAGAGTATTTAGTTTCTACAAATGTGCCTGGCATACTCTGGTCTCATGGCTGCGCTGAATCTGCTTTGAGTTGTTGAAACCTCATCCAGCACCAGATACCTGACATTTTAATTCACCTCTCTAATTTTTTATGAACGTTTATTTAATTAAAAACAATCTTTTTTTACATATCAATCCCAGTTCCCTCTCCCATCCTCCCATGCCCCCCACCAATCCCTGCATCCCACCTCCTGTCCACTCCCCAGGGAGGGTGAGGCCTCCCATGGGGGATCATCAAAGTCTACAAAGATTGAAAACCACAGAAAATCAAACAGAAACATCTTGGGAACCAGCTTGCCAGTCCTATCATGGCCCCTCTCATCTGCACGGGAGGATGAAGGGTGACGGGTGGTGGAATGCCATCAGAAACAGAGTTTCTTGAGCTTAAATGTGGCCCACGGGTCATTTGAGAGTCCTGCCATTCCTGTCAGTATATTAAAATGAGATTCATCTGTCTATGGAGTGAAATTGCAGCATTTTTTGTAGCTTTGCAGCACTTTTGCATATGTATCTTTACCAGGAATGATGGCATCCATTCGTGAATTTTGTGGAGTTTGGTTTTTCCATGGTTCCAATTGTGTAGAATCTATGTGGTTGTTTCCTTCTCTGTAAAGTAGGGATGATGAGAAGGCCTTGCTAATCCCTTTCTCGGGACCACATGACACCGGAAATGAAAGACTCCATCTCTAGATTGGCCCCTAGTAGGCATCACTAAGCTCTGTGACTTCTATCATTGTTGAAGCTATTATTGTAACTAGGACTTCCTGCTCACTGCCAGGAGTCTCCCTCTGCTTCCACACAGGCTTCCTTGCCCATCTGGAACCTCCTCAGTCATTTGGAGGTGTTTGCTGCTGCTCCAAAGGAATGTGCGTCATGTTCTGAAGTGCTTTCCTTCATGGTGCAAGAAGTATAGAAATTTTTCTTTTCTCAATTTTTAAAGATTTTGATTTGTTGCTGTGTAAGACACCACTGTGATACTTCCCTGGTGCCATGGAATCCTATCGTAGAGCTTTTATCTTAATATATCCTTTTGTAGTATTTGTCCTGGACCCTCTTTCTCTAATAAACTGAAGTAGAAGGATCTTCCTTGACCTCACTTACCTTTTCTATTGAGTGACTTATTGGCATCAATTTCCTCTAGACATAACCAACGACTGCTCAGTCATGAGCATGAGATGAGTTCAAGCTTTACAGAGTGGGCTGCCCTCCTCAACCATTTGTTGAATGAGGGCCAGAGATGGTTAGTAGAACTTGCTGCTCTTGCAGAAAACCTGGGTTCAGTTTCTAGTACCCACACGACAACTTACAACTATCTGTAGCTCCAGTTCCAGGGTATCCAATGTCCTCTTCCGGCTTCAGTGGGCAGCAGTATGTATGTGTATGTATGTGTATGTGATACATAGACATACATGCAGTCAAAGCACACATATACATAAATGAAGTAATTGGAATCAAAAAATAATAAAAAATATTTACTGAAATGAAATGCTTTTTTGGTTAATTTGAATACTTTGGTCATCTGTAAGCTTCCACATTTCACATAAAGGAATCCTACCTAATCCCTTTAGTTGGCAAGGCCCTATTGTTGAACAAACCAGCTGCAAAACTCATTTATATTGAGACGTCTAACTGGTGCCTATGTAGAGCCTTCATCCCCTTGTTTTTTGGTACAGGAAGGTATTCCACATGCTACCGAAAGAGAAATGTAAGCACCAAACCAGCTACAAACCTTTTGATCAACAAGACATGCTAGGGCAATGGTGGCATAAAACTTGTGAGAATAACCAACTAATATCTGATCTTACTTAAGGACCACTCCATGAGATGGAACCCATACCTAACTCTGCTTGGTTGACCAGGAACCCGAGACTAGATAGCCCAGGAACTGAAGGTAAAACCAAATACTCCTGGTCAAACAAACAAACTAATCTAAACAAAAATAAGAAAAATGTAGTAATAAAATGACTCCAAGTGATATTCTGCTATCCTCAGAGACCAGTGTCTTATCCAGCCATCATCACAGAAGCTTCCTCCCACAGCAGATGGAAACAAATATAGAGGCGTAGAGCCAGACAACATGCAGAGAATCAGAGACCTTAGAACACATAGCACTAAACAGGATGTCTCCATCAAAACCTTCCTCTCAATGCTCAGGGAAACCAATGGAAGAGGAGGTAGGAAGAGTGTAAGACCCAGAAGGGATGGAGGATGTTGGGAGAACAAGGTTCTCTAAATTAACATGCTTAAAGCTCACACGATCTCACAGAGACTGAAGCAGAATACACAGGGTCTGCATAGGTCTACACCAGATAATCTATGTATACATTATGGTTTCCAGTTAACTGCTTTTATGGGATTCCTGAGTGTGTGAACAAGTGCTCTGATTCTTATGCTTTTTCTTTGCTTTCCCCCTTTGGATTACTTGTTTCAATTCTAATATGTTAGTTTTTTGTTTTATCTTATTTTAATTCATTATTGGCCACTTAGAAACCTATTTGTTTGTTTGCTTTTTGTCATTTTTTATTTATTAAAACAATCTTTTTTTAAAAATTTTACATGCCAATCCCAGTTTCCCCTGTCTACCAAAAGCTAAGATTATAGGTGTGCACCAACATGCCTGACATTCAAGGATAAATGCTTTTTTCTTGACTTTTTCTCCCTCCTATGGTATGTTTTTTTTCTCATTGCTGTCAAATATCTGACAAAATAAATTTAGAGGAGGAAAGTTTATTTGGGCTTACAGCTTGAGAAAACAGTCCATCATGGTAAGAAGCTATGGTGACAGGAGACTGAGGGATCATGTCACATTGCATCTATTCCCAGAAACAGATAAAGATGAATTCCCTGCATAGCTGTTTCCTTTGTGTTTAGTCTGGGACACCAGGCCATGGAATAGAAGCACCTACTTTTACAGTGTGTCTTCCCACGCCAGTAAACTCAGTCTCCTAGGTGACTCAAGATCCTACCAAGTCGACAATCAATTTTATCTATCACTCATGGTCTTTTCCCATCTTAGTAATGGTCCCTGTCATTTCTCCATTGCTCAGGACTGGAAACTAGGAATCATCCATGTTGTTCTCCTTATCTTACATTGTATTTCCAATCCATTGGCAAATCATGTATATATATAATTTGATATGCTGTCTTTTCTCTTATTCACAGAGCTGGAATTGTTCCTACCTGCCCCCTTCTACCAGGGATTCTTCTTAACTGCTATCTGTTTTATTGTGAACAGGTCCCCTGACCATGAATGACAGGCTGAAGAGTTGCCATGGGGGTCTACAGTTCTCAGTGTGAGAAGCTTTAAATAATCATTTCTGTGGTTGGAATCCTCAAATCTTCTACTTCATTGCCTCTGGAGCATAACCAGGTTGGTTGCGAAGATTTTCATCTTCATTATTTTTCTCACTGATATGTCAAAATGCCTGACAATTTAAAGAAGGAAGCATTTATTTTGACTCCTAGTTTGAAGGCACAGTCTGTCAGGTCAGGGAAGTAACGGCAGTAAGTTACAATGCATCAACAATCAGGAAACAATGTGAAATGAATCCTGGGATTTGGCTCGCTTTCTTCTTTTTATTCCAGCCAGCCCCCCAGCCTGCGGAATGGTGCAACTCATGCTGATGCTGGACCTTCCCACTTCAGTTAATGCAATCTAGAAACTGCCTACCAGACACATTGAAGAGTTTGTTTCCATAGTGATTCTAATCCTATCCATCACAGATATAGTATTTACACAACTAAAAGACTTAAACCCAGATAGCCAGTGTGGACTGTCAAACCCACATCACCTTGTTGCTAAGTTCATTTGCAGTGAGTGTATGAACTAACCAACTGAACCATCCATAGAAAGGACAGTTGTCCTTGCAAGGTCTGCATCCTCACACTTGAAGAGACAAGAAGATGTTTGCTTCCTGCTTCTCCTAAGTCTTCATTGTAGAGGAAGAAGGAGTTTCGGATGGCTTTTGCTTCCAGTTAGCACTGGGGTAGAGGGTTCTGATAACGTTAGAAGCACAAAAGAGTACTCACAGCTCAGCATCTCCTATGTCTCAACAGAGAAACTGTTATCATTCATAAACGTGCCCATGATGAACCATCTTACATGACAAACAAATGCTGTATTCTGTTGATATTTTTCTTTTTCTTTTGGAATGCAGCATTTTCTTACTTGCCAAGTTTTGTATGAGTCTTATTTGGGCTTCTTCCTCTTTTTTGGCAGTATAACATGTTTCTTTTTAAAAATAAGAGCACAAGTTTAATAATGCTATGATTGGAATTTAAGATGAGTAGTTTATAAACTATTAAAATCTATTCTTTTTTAGACTTCAATACAATTATGTAATCGTCACCTTCACATGCCTAGAAAGAGGGATGATAATGAAAGTGACTTCTGCATTGTCTCTCCAGGCTGCTTAGCATTCACTCAGATGTTAATAGTATTCTTTAGCTGCCCAGATTGCATGGTGGTTTCCAGTATCTCAAAGGCATTGAGATGCATTGCCACCTTGTAAAGAAGGTGCTAAATATGTCTGAGAGCTGACTCACTCCTCTTCATAGAAGGAAGCTTCAGTGGGAGGAAACATTTCCAGGCATCTCTAAAGCTGGATGGAAGGCAGCATTCCTCATGGACACCCTGTAATTTTTCGTTATTTATTAATCCAGTGGGTAGTCATGGTTTGTTCCTCTTTGTCCCAGTCTCTGTGCTATGCAGGCATTTAGGGTAGACTTCTCTACTATAATGGGTATTTCTGCTATGGAAAGAAGCGAATGGTAGAGCAATGGGGAAGCCAGAGCACTTCTTTCTGTGAGGCTGATGAAAAGATTACCTTGTGTGGGTGGCTGAGAACTTCACAGAAGGAAGAGAGAAAAAAAGAGTCTGAACTGGAGATGATGTGAGAAACTTCTGGCTTGTGTATTAAGGTATTGGTATACTTAACACCATGCTCCTGAATCTGTGCTAGCTCACAACTTTACTTTTCTCATCTCATCTCTCTCTCTCTCTCTCTCTCTCTCTCTCTCTCTCTCTCTCTCTCACACACACACACACAAACACACACAGACAGAGACAGAGAGACAGAGACAAAGAGAAAGAGAGACAGAGACAGAGACAGAGAGACTCAAAAATAAGAAAGATCTAATTGCCTCATAGAGTAAAACAGTTAAAAAATACTGTGTGCTGAGGAACTGGATTTCTTCATAGTCATTAAAAATCATATTGCAAAAGAATAGTTAATGGCATGGGGATGTGCTCATCATATTTTAAATACAAAAGTAAAAAGTCTGATGTTAATATGATACCAGTTTGCTGATGTTGTACTCTCAGTTTGACTCACTGTGAATACTGTGATAGTCTGTGCCTGTCCCTCCCCCTTCTCCTGCACCCACAGTGCACCTGTCCTGCCTGACCCTTGATCTTCCTGCACTATCACCTTCTAACAAGCTGCCAAGTTCACTTGTTTCTACCAATTTTCGCCATCTTTATCTCCTGATAGAATATGGTATTAGAGGCAGAAGTTTATATATTTTGTTTATAGTGACTCCCTAAAAGCTAAAAATCAATGTCTTATACATAGCAGCTTTAGAATTGATGAACAAATTAATGAAGGAAATATGGTTAAATTAGAGTAAGATTGGCTATACTTCTACTTTTCTGAATTTTATATTTTCCTATGATAAACTTTTTTTCTGTAATTAGAGGGGAGAGATGATACACAGAAATTCCTCATATAGACCTAACTAGGTTGTCTTTGGGAAATGTCTGAATGCATGGCTGAAGGTGGCATGCATAGTCAAATGCTTCTGGTTGAATATAGAGAAATCTTAGTACCTATCATGTCAGGTCCAAGTTCAGAGCTTGTATAACCACTGGGTCTTAAGTCTACCTTTGCCTTTCCTATCCACCCTCCCTGTCATCTCCCTCTCCTTGCCCACATGCTGGTCCTTGGACTCTACGATGATCATGCTAAGGTCTGCCCCTAACCCATTATCTGTGCCTTCTCCTTCCTAGGTACTTTCTTAACTGGTTATCATTTCAGTTTCTGTATTTTCTTTGAATGGCAGTTTGCATCCTGCTCTTTTTCTTATTCCTTTCTGTGTTGATTCTGGCTTCATCAACTTTTTTTTTAAATTTTATTTTCCAGTTTAAATTTAGATAAGAATCAAGGTTGCTTCACAAGTCAGTTCCAGGTCCCTCTCCCATTCCCTCCCTTCCTCCCGTGCCCTCCCCCCCCGTTATCCTCTCATTTCTCCAGGGAGGGTGAGGCCCTCCATGGGGGTGTCCATAGTGTGTCATTTCATATAGGGCAGGGCCTAGACCCTTTCCCAAGAGTTCTGGGTGAGAGTGCACCTCACATTGTTCTATTGGAGTCCAAAGTCCGTGTGTATACTTGGGATGGGTACTGATCTGCTGCCCAAGGCTCAATAGATTCCCTAGGCCTCTTCACTGACACCCAGATTCAGGGGGTCTTGATCAGTCCCATGCTGGCTTCCCAGGCTGATGCCTGGGATTCAAGAGTTAACCTTTGTCTGGTCAGCTGTTTCTGGGGGTTAAACCAGCCCAGTCTTAATCCCTTTGATCATCAGTCCTCCCTCTCTGTTACTGGCTGGCTTCATCAACTTTTGAATTTCACTGGCATCTGAGCTGTAGAGTGTGCCAGGCCCTCAGTGTGATGCCTCCAGCTGTAAAGCAACAATGTTTAACACTGCATTATCTAAAGATGCCAAAAATCTATCACCGATGGAGCCCGGTGGAATCTGGCTCCATCTATTTTAAGCCAGAAACCAACCATAGAAACAGAGCACATATGCTTTTCTTGTCTCATGTGTTACTTTTTATCCTTCCCGACCATGAGCACATGACAAGCTGTTTAAGAAAAAGTTTTCTATTTTTTACTTTTCTTGTCTTCAGTAGTGTAAAAGCCCTTCTGGTCTCAAAATTAATTCCGTGTGCTTTAGTTAGTGTATACTTGGAGTCCCACATAGAAAATATTTGGTGTTTCTTACCTTTCACAGATGGTATTATAGTAGTTTAGGGTGACTTTAGTGCCTTTGGAGACATTATATATGCATGCACATATATATTTAATATCATATTCTTATGAATATTTTAAACACTAATAAACTAAAGTGAAATATTCAAGATCAAACTTAGTTACTATAACCTCCTGTTAAAATTGTATCATTTTGTTCAGAGGTATAGATTGATTTTGAGGAAGGATATTGCATAACAGATTTCTCAATTCAATAAGGGCCTATTGAGATTCTGCTGTTTATTACTGCAGCAGGCAGTGAAGGAAATTGTAGAGATCAGCTAAAAATGGTCCAGGAACAGTGCAAGCAAGAAAAATCTATTGTTGAGTATTTCAAAGAGGAAGAGATTACTCAAGCACAGGCAAGCAAGTAGGTGTAGACTGTAGACTTGAGGAACCAGAGGATTCCACATGTGGGTGAGGAAATCAGGAAAGAATGGAAAAGGGGCATTCATGGGAGGCAGCCTGATGCTCATGGGCAGGGCTTCAGGGAGCAGGCAGGGGAGGTGGTGGGAGATGAGATGAAAAGATGGGTGTCCTAGTTTCATTTCTGTTGCTGTGATGAAATAAACACCTTGATCAAAAGCAGCTTTGGGAAGAAAGAGCTTATTTTATCTCACAATTCCAGGCTATATGCTACCACTTTAGGGGAGTCGCAGCAGCAGATGCTGGAAAATAGCTGGTCATATCATATCTAATGTCACCAGCAGAGAGAATACATGCACACAAACCTAGTACTCCGAGTTTTCTCTATTCTTATACAATACAGTGTCTCAAGTCAGGGGATAGCACTGCTCACAGGTGGCTGGGTCTCTCCACATAAGTTTTGGAAATCAAGACAATCCCTCACAGATATTCCCACAGGCTAAGTGATCTGGATAACCCTTCATCAAGACTTTCTTCCCAAGAGTTCTAAGTTGTGTCAAGTCAAAACACTGCCCATTTTAGCAGGGTTAGGAAGCATATGGAGGGAAGGCTTTCAGGCTGGAGGAGGCATCTCTGTGTTCTGCCTCATAAGAGACCTTCTGAGGCTCAACATCAGGAATGGAGTTTGAAAACAAAAGGTTTCTAGCTTTCCTTGTGTTGACAAAAACAACTAGAGGCTCTCAACATTTTTTGGTATTTGTGATAGTGTCTTTTACCTCATAATTCAATTATTACATGAGGGCCCAAAACCTGAGGGGAAAAGCTGTTTACCTTAGCATTATAAGGCCTCTCCTTGTCCTCTCTGATTCTAACAACACAGCTGGACTAGAGCCAGGATCTGCAAATTCACTCAAATGACTATTGAGAAAATAGGAGTTAATCTTAAATGACTGTTTTATCAAGCCTATGTAGCAAG